GACAGAAGCTTGATTAGATTTTGGTTTAATTTTGTAAAAGAATGCTTAAGTAGTGCTGGTATAAAGTAGCCATTGAATTCTACATGTAGCTCAGTCCATAAAGAATCTACCTGTAATGCAGGAGACCCAGGTTCAATCCCTGGATTGGGAAAATCCCCTGGAGAAGGAAATGGCTACCCACTCCAGTATTCTTGCCTGGAGAATCCCATGGAGGAACCTGGCAGGCTACAGTCCATGGGGTCCCAAGAGTTGGACATGACTTAGTGACTAAACCACTACCACTGTCCTGTCAGGAGCGGGTGGTGTCTGGTTGTCCTGCTTCAGTGATGTTGAGATTGATCAGCAGTGTCATCCTGTTCATCCATTTAAAAAAGCTCAATCAGCCCTTTCATTAAGTTTTAACAGTACTTGATCATCATCACCTGTATCATTACTTCATTTATGTATTGAAGATAGTGGTTTTCAAATTTTATCATTCTCTCTATAATCATTAGTGACTTTTATAAACTTCCTCTTTTCAGAACTTGGGTTACTTTTTCACAAACAGGAAAGAAGACAGAAAATGCCTGATTCTTTCCCTATTTTATGGGGAGGAGGGAAGAAATGAGTTGGTTACTAGCACCCTTCAAAGGACCAATGAGGTATATGTGTATGAATATCAATATAAACTTACATTTTCAAACACATATTTATGTGCTTCAAGTTATTCTAATTGCTGCTCAAAATGTCCCATCTTTAGCCAATATGTATGGATACATAGATGCAAAATTTTCCATACAATTTCAAATGGTCTACTAAACTATTTGAATCTTCCTGGAGTCAATCCATGGACCATGGCTGGGGTAAGGACTCCTGCTCTTCTATGTATAGACTGAGTTGCTGTCAATCAGTCAAGGATGTTTTCATTTAAATGCAAGTCAAATTCCTTTGAGTATGACATATAAAAATAACTATAAAGGTTAGCTGTATACTTTCAAAAGATCTTGACCCTGTGTACTATTGCATTATATGTTTTGTTCACATATCTGTTTGATTTAATGTGGTTTTTATGAGATTTATTATAGAATAATTTCTTTTTAATTAGTATTTAGTAGCTTTGGCTTATCTTTCATATGCCAAGGAAAAATCATTAAAATTTTTTTTTAGTACACAAATTGATTCATATGGAGCCATGTTGAATATTTTTTTGGAATACATATATTTAGATACGTATCCTTCCGAAACATGACCCCTCCTTTTCTTTCATTCATTTTCCTACTGATGTAACTAAATAAAGATTTACTGAATACACAGGCTGGAAGTGCGATTCATTGACCCCTAGGACGACTATTCCTTGTCCTGGTTGTGAGCATGATGTGGATCTTGGAAAATGGGGAATCAATGGTCTGTTTTGAAATTTCACTTGGGAAATTATTGTTGAAAGATAATGGCAGGCAGCCAGGGCAGCCACAGCCAGTATGTGTGACCTTTGTAAACCATCGCCTCAAGAATCCACAAAAAGTTGCATGGACTGTAGTGCAGACTACTGCAATGAATGCTTCAAAATTTACCATCCTTCCGGGTACTGTAAAAGCACAGCGTGAGTATGTGGGCCCGACTACAAATTGTAGATTCAAGGTAAGTGAAGTTTCTATTAAGATAGAGTATTAAACTTAATGGGCTTGCCTGATGGCTCGGAGGTAAAGAATCCACCTGCAATGCAGGAGACTTAGGTTCATCCCTGGGTCTGGAAGATCTCCTGGGGAATGAAATGGCAACCCACTCGAGTATTCTTGCCTGTGAAATCCCATGAACAAGAGGAGCCTGGTGGGCTACAGTCCATGGGGTCGCAAAGAGTTGGACATGACTTAGTGACTAAGCATCAACAACCTCTTCATTTTGACTTCTGAGTCCCTCGACTCAATCCCAGTAGTTTTAGAGTACTTCCTTGCTGCTGGCACAAAATGCTTCATACTCATTTTGCACATTTCTTGCCCCAGACTAGAATCAGTTATTTCCCCAAGGATCCTTGGTTCCTTTGAGTCAGAAGTGGTATTTAGAGACCACAACCTAGGCATGAGCATTACTAGGTTGTTGTATGTAGAGTTTTTCTGTGGACATAGCTAGGGAACTATATATATATATTTTTTTGTTTGTTTAAGAAAGAGGAAAACCCATGAATTCATTCTGGTATTTCCAATTCAAATGAAAGATCACAGGGTATTACTTCTTATATTTGTATTTCTTTTCACTTGCATTAGAAACTTGATCCCCAGTAATGTTAGCATAGATACTTATATGCTTTAGTCTAATATATATAATTTCAAAATATATGATGTTGGGTCTCAAAATTTTAAACTTTTATCAAAATTAAAAAGTCAGTATTATGAACAATAAGACTCTTGAAAGTAAGTTGCAGACATCATTCTTAATACTTCGTACACATTCTCTCACCTAAGCACAATACCATTATCACAAAGAAATGTAATAAAGATACATTTTCCAATATACCAATTTTCCATTTCTCATATGAAAATTTCCCCCACTGATTTAAAAGTGTACTTTCTGGGGCATTTGGTACCCCAATAATAACTGGCAGCATGACATACCTGCAGTGCACCTTGCAATATTAAAGCAGATTTTTATTCTGAGACAGAATAAAATTATTAAAAAAAAAGTGTACTTTCAAACCCAAACACAAAAATCACAACAGCCTGTGATTCAATCAATATCTTGCATTACATTTGGCTGTCATGTCTCCTTTAATCCAAAACAGTCCCCTCTGTAGCCCCCACCCCCCCACCCCCGACTTTCTGAAGATGTGATCTAGTAGTTTTGTACAAAGTCCCACAACTTATGTTTTACCCAGTATGTCTTTGGGATAGATTTCTATAGGTAGCATTGTTTTGGCAAAGAGTATGTCCTCATATAGTTTTGCTGGAGATTATCTCACAGGTGTTTCATATGGCACACCCACTGATACATCAGAATGCTGTTTCCTTCTGCCCTGTTGACAGAGGGAGCTGCCAAAATCACAGGTTTCCTTTTCCCTGTCTGATAGGTGGGAAATGTATCAAAGCGGGATTTTCATTAGCTTTTCTCTTACTGAGTTTGAGCATATTTTCTAAGAACTATCCATTCATATATTTTGTCCATTTTTCTATGGACTTGGAATTTTTCTTTTCCATTTTGACACTACACACACATACACACACACATCCTTTATAGTATAAACTGCAAACATTTTCCCCTAATTAGTCATTTCTTGTTAACTTGGCCTTTTTTTAAAAAAAAATCATGTAAAAATTTGTTTTCTCTTTTTGTTAGTATTATTTCCCCTTATTGCATATGGATTTCAAATCATATGAAGGAAGTCTGTCCAGCTTCTAGTTTACAGAAGAATTAGCCTTCATGGAGGTCACATTTTGTTTGAGGAGGACAATAAAAGATAAACTAAAATTGTATACGTTAGAAGCTATGTTACAGAAAAAAATTAAGCAAGGACAGGGTAAGGATCACCGTGTTCTGTAGGGAGGTGACTGGGAAGTGAGACGAAGAGAAGACAAAGGAGTGGGAACACTAAGGTGGCACGTGGGAAAGCAAATGTGTGAAGACTGAGAAAGAGCAGCTAGGGACAGGAGGGGCATTGGGAGTGAGGGTGCTCTGGAGGTCAAGAGAGGAGCTATCGGAAGGGAGGTGGAAAGTCAGGTTTAAAATCTCAAAGACGTCAAATATCCCTAATTGGTAGACTAACTGCAACCCCAGTAAAATTCCCATCTATGTATTTCTTCCGGAACCAGCCAAATTTGGTATAAAGTTAATTTCATTTAAAAGAAAAAGACAGCAAGTAGAGACAGGGAAACACTGACAAGTAAGAACAAGATGGCAACCAGTCATTGCAGTTAAGACATATTACACAGCCTCTAAAATTAAAACACTGTGGGGATGGCACTCAAGAGTCAGACAGATGGTCTTGATACAGCCAGATACAACCAATACAACCCAGATACAACTCAATTAGCCATGGAAATTTAGTGTATGAAGAATATCTAAGTTTACTTTATAAAGTTTAGGTGGGTAAAATTTTACTTTACAAATTGAAGATAGTTCACAGTGAAATACACAGACCTAACGAGTACAGCCAGACTAGTTCTGACAAATCCATACACCTGTGTAACCCTCACCACCTTCAACACACAATATATTTTTAACTCTAGAAAGTTTGTCTCCTCCTTGCCACCCAACCCTCCCTTAAAGGTAACCACTGCTCTGAATGAGAATTTTAGTAAGTGCTTAAAATAAGACAGAATGGAATCCATTTGGATCAATTCCAAATGGCTCAAAGATTTAAATGTAAAAAAGAAAAAAACCAAAAAACTATAAAAACTCAAAGACAATCCCATCTCTCACACCTTCCCTTCTTCCAACAGCGACACTGCCTCCGTGGCCCTCACACCGCCTGTGAGCTAGGGCCTCTGCACACGCTGCAGTCTCCCAGCTGCAGGCCCTCCCCACATCCCTGGGTGCTTCCTTCCCACTGCCTTTACACAGTGTCACCTTGCTGTTAGCCCTCTATGTAACACTGCACCTCTGCAATCGCTTTTTCTCATAGCGGTTCTTCCATGTACTAGATATTTTGCTTACTAATTTTGTCAGTGGTCTGTTCTCCTGTCCTAGAACGACAACTCCCTGAAGGCTGGGACTTCTGTCCATTTTTTTCAGTGCTGGATCCTCAGTGTTTACAGCAGGCACTTGATTACTTCCTACTGAGGGTAAAAGTGATGAGGAGAGTTTCAGCTAGGGTGGGGCCCATAGTATCGTGTTCATCTTGGCTTTAGTGCAATGACAGGACGGGGCAAGGCGACTGAGAGAACCGAGAACAGCTGGGGGTGTGGGCGGCAGGTGTGGTGGAGACCATGGACTGATGTGTCCCGGCAATGTTTCTTTCCAGAGGTCTTAAGGGAAGTGATGTGTTGGGATGAACAAGTTTGAAGCTCTTGACTTCTTTTTGAGCTACTTCTTCATCTGCACAACTGCTGCAGGGCACCTTGGGCCTGGACCCAGCGCAGCTGCCACTGGGCCAATGACAGGCCTTGGCAGAGGTCCCTGGAGAGGGCGGCTTGTCCTGGCTGCTCCCACCTGGAGAAGGGGATGGGGTTAAAGGGGAAGGTCTAGGACCTCCAGACCTTCACTAGCCAACCCTCAACACCATGGTCTGCTTGTCATCAGCCCCTCACCGCCTCCCCCGGCCTAAGTTCTGCCCGTTGCTCCCAGTTCAGCCCCCACCTCGTCATGTCCCCCTCTCACCAGTCTCCCACAACTCCCTGGAGCTCGGGGACTCGCTTCAGCGCTTGTTTCAGCAGGTTCTCCAGCCGCTTCAGAGCCTGTCCTAGGCTCTCCTTCTGCTCCTTTTCCTGGGATTCCTGGATCTGCAGCAGCTCTGTAGGTTAGAAACCCAGGGTGCAGCACTGAATCCTCGGGCTCCTGGGTGCCTCGCAGCTAATGAGTCACCAAGTCTCCAATCATCTAATCTTCACCTCAGCATCTCTCCTAAACCTCTCTCCTCCCAGGTCCTCTTACCAGGTGCAAGCCCACCATGCCCCAGGTATCCTTCTGAATACCTTCCTCCCTCCCCCTCAGTCTCCATGGTCCCTCCCTCAGCGTCCTACCTGCTTCCCTGCTTGTCCCCCAGCCTCCCTCCTAGGCTCCAAGCCTCGGCCTCTTACTGGTCCATCCTTCATGTGGCAGCCAGAGTGATCTCAAGGCCTAAAACTGATCCTTTCCCTCTCCTGCTTAGAGCCCTCCCAGGCTCCTCAGCACCCCAAGACCGAGCCCAAGCTCTCAGCCTAGTACTTGAGGAATGCATCACGTGGCCTCTGCTCACTACTTTGGAGCAAAAGCCTCACCTGTCCCCCAGGCCCACTGGAGACAGCATGCTTCCTCCTGGCAGCCCTTCCCAGCATTCCTCACCCCAGCTGCTTCCTCAGAGTACTGCAGTCCTTCACTCCACTGGTGTCTTTCCTGGGGACTGTGACTCATCTAGTCTCTCTCCACAGACTCAGAATAAGCCCAGCTCAGAGTAAGTGCAGATGAGCAGTGTGGTCAGACCCTTCGGGCCTGAACCCTTTCCTGGCCTTGTAACCTCAGGCATGACACTTGCCCTTTCTTTGGTCCCTCTTAGGGACAGATGGAATTATCTGAGTCACAGGCTAGTGAAACAGGGGGCAGATGGGGGCACTCTGGAGAGGGGACCCACAGGGCTTACTGACAGGTTGAAGGTAGGGGTTCAGAGGACTAGGAAAAATTACGGATGACTCCTGGGCTTCTGGCTTTAGCACCTGCATGAGGGCTTCCCCCTTTATTGAGGGAAGGAAACCAGGAGCGAAAAAAACAGAACTGCTTTCTGGACTAAAGGGAGCTGAGTTCCGGTTATAGACGTGTTAAAAGTCCCTGATGCCCATGCAGTAAGACAATGCTGTGCCATGTCTTGTGCTTTTTCTGCTGGTCCTTCACACTGCTCCTCACCCAGTGAAGAGTGGGGGTGGTAAGGAGCTCAAAACTCAAAGGCCTGAAGATGGTCTCTTCCTGCTTTGCTGATAGTACACTGATTCACTTCTCTTCAAGCCATCTGTTCCATCTATTTCTCTCTTGAATTTTTCGCTTCTACAATTGGGACACCCTGGGGCTGGATAGCTCTCGCCTCTCTCCCTGTTGAATTCTCGGGGGCTAGCACATGGCATATAAGCAGTGAGTACTTGCTTAGTGAATCCAGGAATAAAGGACTTCTGAGTTTTAGCTTCCTTTCTGTAAATTGTAGTCTTACACTCCCTTCCCTCATGGTAAGGACTAGAGGAGACTGTGCATGTGCAGATAGCAGAGACTGGAATCACACAAGGGACACAGAATGCTTAACTGCAGCCAGCCAAAGCTCAATACCCTGTTCAGGCCACCTGACTGAGTCTTCCCAGCCATTCTGTAAGGTATTATTAATACGATTATGCCTAGTCCACTTCAGGGGAAACTGAGGCAGAGGAAGACCATGCAGCAAAGAACAGGGATTGCTGAGAAAAAAACCCAGTAGTTTAACTATACAGCCTGGTTTGTAACTACTCAAGTATACTGCTGTTTGATGATGGATGAATATCTGGCAGTTTGATGAGCAGTGTCCCCTAGTGGTTAGGAGCACAGACCCATGTTAGACGGCCTGGGTTCAAATCTAGCTTGGCTGCCTGGGCAGCTTGCAAGCCCTCTGCTTCTCAGTTCCCTCCTCTGTAATGTGGAGAGAACCCCTGGGGATGCTGTACAGATGACACTAGTGAGCATGCTGAAAGACCTCAATGCACAGTGCGCACTGTGTAAGCAATGGGTATTTGTGATTTCTTCTGGAGGCTAAAGGTGCTGGGAAGGGGCTGGGATGCTGGATAAGGAAGTGGGGCAGCCTACCCTGGGTGGATGGTCCTGGCGGCAGGCTGATCTTCATGTGGAGCAGATACCAGCGTCGGAGACTTTGTTGGTCCTGGAGGAAGAGAAGGTCCTGCCGAAGAGAGGCAGCCTTCGGGAAGAGCAGCTCCGGAGCCTGGAGGGAGGAGGAAGGATAATCACTTGGGGCGGGGTCGGGGTTGGAAGACAGGTCCGAGGCGACAGGCACTCACCTTCCCTGCAGGCAGCCCCAGTGTGTGGCTCAGCGCTATGAGGCTGGAGCCCCTTGGGGATGCAGGATGCAGCTGGTGGATGGATGGCAGGACTGTAGGGAGGGGCTGCAATCTGCGGAGTGAAGTCCAGGTTGGGAGGGGCACTGAGAGGGAGGCCAGGTTCCAGAGGCCCAGGAACTTGGAGGTGGGGCTGAGGGTGAGGTCTGGCAGCCTGGGAACCCTAGGATTGTGTTTTAGGAGTGGGCCCAGGGAGTAGCAGTCATCCACAACAGGGTATGTGGCAACCCCTATCTCACCCTCCGGGGCCGTGCTGCAGCAAGGGGCCCAGAGGAAGATGGGGCAGGTGCTGGGCTTCCTGCTCCAGACACCGCACCAGCTCCTGGCTCTGTGGAGCCACCGCCTCAGACATGGGGACCACTTTTCGCTGAACCAAAGCTAGCACCTGTGGGGAAGGAAAGGGATGGGAAGGACAGCGTGAGGCTGTGTAGTCCCCTCCCGAAGAGGCCCAGCTCCCCCCGAGAATTGGCCCCAGCTTCCATCTCACCTCCCCGGGGCTCCTGCACAGGCGTGTCTTGATGGCTGAGTTGCCTTTGATGAGTAGGCGGATCTGCTCCTGTGTCTCCTCCTAGGCAACCAAGACACCATGGAGATGGGCTGATTTTCTGTTTTACCTCCCAGCCTCTGCCCCTGCTCACCCCTTTTGCACAGGCCCTGACTCCTCTTGGGAGTTTCACCGAGGCCCCCTCCCCTCACCAGGAGGCCCAGTTCTGGCTCCTTAGGGCTCCCTCCCAGTCTGCCGCAGGCCCTCCATCAGGCCCGGCCACTTCTCCTGCAGCCCCACTTCTCACCACTAGCTGGCGCCAGCGCAAGATCCGTTGCTGTTTGGCCTGTAGCTCCTGGAGCAGAATCTGCCGACGCCCAGTGGCCTCCTCCAGCTCCTGGCTCAGGGCATGAAGGGCCTTGAGTTCCGCCCAGAGGGCACAGACCCGGAGCCCCAGCACCAAAGTCTGCCTGCGGCCCAAGTAGAAAAGAGCAAAGGAGAAGGAAAGTGACTAAGACTCTCAGCAGAGGAGCGAGATCAGACGCGCAAGGATGCACAAAGAGCCGTAAAAATAGGGAGACGACCCAGCAGGGCAAGCAGGGAGGCTGAAACAGGAGCCAGGGTGCAGTAGTCCATATTCTGAGACCCCTTGGAGAGACATGGCCGAGGCCATGGCCCTTGGAGACGCCTCACCTCTCGCTGGATCCCAGGATACATCTATCCACCTTCTCCATCAGGCCCTGGAGGCGCAGGGTCAGGACTTGATGCTCCTTCAGGAGGGGGTCCCGCTGGGTGACCAGCTCACCCACAGACCGCCAGCCCTCCTGGAGTAAGCACAGTCAGGATGACATGGTCCCTGGCAAGGAGGGCATGGAGATGTTTTGGGTTGGGAAGGGGATGGAGTCCTGGGAAGGGTCCTGGGGGGTTACCTGGATGAGATGCACCATGGATGGCAGGGTCTGGCTGGAGTTTGACTGGTCTGGTGCCTGGGACCTGAGAATAAGGGCTGAGCTGTAGTGGGAGGAGCCCTGTCCCCTTGTAGGTAACCAGTGTCAGCCTACCTGCCAGACTGGTTACTGGGCTTCAGTTCCCACTGGCAGGTCACCCTGCCTGGTCCTGACCTGTCCCAGATCACCCAGCCACCTGCCCTGTGCTGACTGGGAGCACCAACACCCCACCTGGTTCTCTCCGTATCCTGGAGCCCATCCGCACTGCACAGGGACTGGATCTCTGCCTCCCGTTCTGCAGCCAGATGCTGCAAGGCAGCGAGGACGTGGCCTGGTGGGTGGTTTGTCAGCAGGCTCTGGTGGGGAGAGGGGTAAAGTCAGGGCAGGATGGTGGCAGGGCTGCAAGCTGGGACTCCATGGAGAAGGGGTAGGGATGATGAGTGAGGTCCTGGCACCCTGAGGTTTAATCATGGAGCAGGGGGTATAGCCTTTCTTGAGAGTGCCCCTCACCTCCATTGAGCTAAGCCACTGCTGGTAGGAAGTTCCAAAGTGGTCATCTTGCAGGTTTCTGTGGAGTTGGGGAAGAGGACAAAGAATGTTACAAGAACCATTAATTCACCCTTTAGTGATCACTGCCACTCCGTAAGGTAGGGGCTGTCACTGTCCCCATGTTAAAGATTGGAAACCAGGTTCCTCTATACCAGCTAGACTTGAGCGTCCCACTTAACAGCATATCAATGCCTTGGCCTTGGACCCATTCGTGTGTGCAGTTTACCTGGAACACCCTCTCAACCTTCTGTCCCTCCTCACCAAAGCACCCATTTTCTCTGCCTCCTTAGCTGGGTAAGGAGTCTCCTTTGGGAACCCAGAGCCTCCCAGGCTTGCCCACCCTCTGAGAGCCCCAACTACCTGGGTCGTCACTATCTCTAAAGGTCTGCTTCCTCTCTACCCAGCCTGGGAGCCCTGTCAGGGCAGGGCCTGGGGCTGACAGAGCCCAGAGGTACAGTGTCTGTAACAAGGTTCTTTACAGGGTCTCTGGTGGCCAAGGGCTACTCACGGAACGCCGCCTCCCTGGGCCTGAGGACTCAGGAGGCTCTGCAGGAACTGGGTCCGGAGGCTGCAGGCTGTTCGGACATCGTGCTGTGAAGAAGAGAGTGTAGTATGAGGGGGGCCCAGAGGTCCATCTAACCCTGGACACCCCACCGTTCTGCCCCCTGGCCCAGGACTCTTACCAGGACCGCAGGCTCCAGGCCCAGGGCTGCTGATACCAAGGGTCCAAAGTTTATATCCACTTTGGCCTTCCTGGAAGGAGGAGTGAAGTTGGGGCTGGGGTTCCTGGGAGGAGGTGGCTGGCAGCACAGAGGTTGGTGTTCCCTCCTGCTGCCAGCACAGCCAGTCACAGGGATCACTGAGCCTGGATCTCAGAGGCCAACCCCCAAATGAGATCACAGTCATCTCCTGGCTGGATGACTACATTAATCTCCTCATCCATCTCCCTGCTCTTACCCTCTGCAGTCTCTTCCCCACCCCGCAGTAGCCAACGATCCTGTTAAAACCTCTGACAGATCACGTCCCTGTTTTGCTCAAAACCTTCGAAAACGTGATGGGTTTCCACACACAGAATAACAAGTAGAATACTTCTAAACACTCTGTGTGATTTAACTCAATTATCATACCTACCCTTTAGAGTAGATATTATTATCCTCCTTCTACAGAACTTAGAAACTGAGGCACAAAGCAGTTAGACTATGCCCAAAGTTACACAGCTCTAAGTGGTTGAGCCAGGGCATGAACCCAGCCTCCAAATAAAACTCCAATGCCTCCACAGCGCTCTGTCCACCTCTCCAACCTACCCCCTTACTACTCTGCCTCTTGCCTTCAAAATTTAAGCTGAACTGGCATCTGGGCTGTTTCCCCCACATGCCAGGTTCAGGGGGCTCTGCTCTTGCCGTTCCTCTCCATGGAAACTCCTCCCCTAACTCAAATGTTAACATCCTCAGAGAGGTTTTCTCTGACCATTGTACCTAGAGTAGCATCTCCCTCTCCCTTTCTATATCCCCTTTTCTTCATAGTGCTCATCTCCACCTATGATTATAGGGTTTGTCTGTGTCCTAGTTTATCACTTGTCTCCTCTGCATCAGAGTGTGAGCTCCATGAGGGTAGGACTGTCCCGTTTACTGTTTTTTTTTTTTCCTCCCCCCAGCACTGGCGTTCTACATACAGCTGGCACCACTTTAAGCACTGGAAAACAGGTGGCTGAGATGGCAAAACTTCCTGGCTCCATGGACATTAAATCCTAAGGAGTGGAGCTCAGAATTCTAGAACCCAGAAGGGGTCCAGGCAAAGCACTGGGTCTCTAAGGATGTCTGTATGCCCAGCCTGGTGAGGGATGCTCCCTGGATACCTGAGGCCCACCTTTCTATGTCCTGCAAGCGCTTGAGCTGATTCTGCAGTTGCTGCATGGGATCCTGGAGCCCACGCTGCTGTCTTCGCATGGCCCCAGCTTGAGCCCGGAGGAGGAGAGCACGGCGCTGGGTGTCTTGCATGCTCTGTAGGTTCTGCTCCATGGCTATATCTGTGAGAGGAACAGGGGTGGCCATCAGCACTTTTCCTCACCCCATTCTGCTGCCCATCTCTCCAGCCCCATGGGTCACCCTGAGCCTCAGTCTCTTGCTCCATCAGCTCCAGGCTCTGGTCTAACTCCAGGAACTCTGCCCGCAGGCGGGCAACAGCGGCTTCCAACTCCAGCTTCCGGCGGGCCTGGAGGAATCAGGTACAGGGTCAGATGCATGGCCTGACTGCTCTCTGTGGGGCAGTGGTCTCTTTTCTGCCCAGTTAATGTGGCACAGGGTTTTCCCTAGGGAGTTTCAGTGCCTGAAGAAGAGCACCAGGGTACTATCCTGTTCCCCTCCTTCCTTCTGGGACTGCCTGGAGCCCCACACCTGGAGTCCTGAGGTCTCCAGGAAGCCTCCTCTGAGATGTCACACTGGGTCCCATACTGGCCTCAGCATTTCTCCCAAGCCCGTCTCTTCTCCCATCAACCTCACCAGCTTTGATGCTTCATATCCCTGTCCCCCCACTCACAGCTCACGCCTCGTCCCCCCAGACTGCAAGTGAGTGCAGGGATCGGGCTGTCTTGTGACACAGTGACCCTTGGCATCACCCAGCCCAAGGCTGGGCCCAGAGCAGAAGAACTGTAAGTCCTTTTTTTGGATAAAATAAAACCTTGCAGCACATGCTTCTCACCTCTGGACTGTCCTGGTTGCCACACCTGAGGAAATGAGACCAGAGTGAGAGGATGATGGGGACTTCCAGGGGAGAGATGGGAGGTGTGAGGCTGGGAGCAGGGATGTGGCTGGATGGGGCTGGGGAAGACAGGAAGGGACAGCTTTGAGGACCAGTTACCAGAGCAGGTTTCCCCGGATCTTCCTGACGTTCCTGAATGGAGAGGTAGGAGGAAGGGGAGTTACAGTGGGGCTCTCCTGGGTCCCCTCCTCTGCCACAGCTTCCCTTCTGTGGCCAGGCTCACCTCTGGCTGTGCACGTGCCGCAAAACATAGGCCCAGATGTCGGCTCCCTGGCCCAGACACAGCCTGTGGGAACAGCATGTAAAGGTATGCCTGGGACACAGGATGGAGGATCCTCACTAGCACAGTGGTGAGGAGATAAGATCTTTACTAGGGAATTCTCATCTGTACGGGGGGTAGGGTCCATACTTTTGAGGGTAAGGTATTCCCTCCTGGGGAGTTCTCAGCCACTGAGAGGGTGGGTGTCTCACTGGGGGTAGGGGTATTCTCATTCCCTGGTGGAGTGCTCCCTTTCTCCTGGCAAAGGATTATCTCGTTACTTCCAGAGGTGGGGTGAGGGCTACACTGCCAGAAAGGGCCCTCTCATGATTAGTTGTGGGTCATCACTCCTATACATTCAGTCTTGAATGGTGTGGTTTTTGCTGACTTGAGTGTCCTCACTAGCTGGGGTGGGTGGTGATGTACTGAAAGACAGCCTTACCCTGGAGATCCAATTTTCACACTGATAAAAGAGAGCCTTATTACTAACTTATGGAGGATCCCCACTATTGCAAGGGACCTCACTTTGGGTGGCCTCAGAGGATGGTGGTGGGAGTGTCGGAGTCACCACCAGGACGTCCTCACTCAATATAGGATCCTCTGTCTGGATTTATACCTGCAGGGCAGGAGCGCCCTCAAGGGTTAATTGCACTGCGGCAGGAGAGCCCTCAAAGGTTATTTTCACTGGGGCAGAGGGGGAAGGGGAGGATGGCGCGTTTTGGATGAAGATGTGGGTCTCATCCCGGGAGATTCCATCTTCAGGGTGGGGAGTCCTAACTCCCAGAGCGGCTCTCACCTGCGCAGCGTCGACTCCGGGACCCGGGCCGCCACGGGCACCTCCATCTCTTCCGCCTCCCAGCAACCCAGTTCCCGCGCTTGCTGCGCTGACTCCATGACAGTGACCAGGCCGCTGCCTCCCGCCCCTTCTTCAAGTGTGGCGTCCTTCTCTTACGTCACGCACGCGCCGGAAGTAACGCCGCGGTCTCCAGGAAGATGGGGGATTTCCTGCTCTGTGGGTCTCAGAGCGGACCCACAGCTTTCTTACCTCAGGATTCCTGTGAGCGAAGATGAAAGGAACTTGAAGGAATGGTGGGATCCGCTTGCCTTTTGCGTCTTCCTTCCTACTACCAGCTGTTCCTTGAGAAGCTAAAGGTCCTAATGCCTCCCTTCATTTTCTTGGCAAAATGGGACTTTCATCCTAGGAGGATGACAATCAGGCGAGGGGATGCCAATATTACTGCCCTTTGGTTTCAGAAACAGGGTGTCAGGTCTGAGTGAAGGACGGGGGCAGTTGGCATGAGCCTAATATTTCCCTGGCATGCTTTCTTCTAGGTATTTGTTCGGCCTTACCAATCCGTAACATTCGTGAGCTGACCTTGTGATGGGGACACTCTGGTGGCTGAGACAGCCCCAGTCTCGATGCCACGGAGCTTACAGTTCAGTGAGGGACGTAGACGCATCACCAGGTAGGAATGGATAGGACATAAGCAGCAGGGGTGGGTCACTTTGGGGTCAAGGAACTTGAGAGGTCTGTGGAGTGCCCCCAGAAAGCGCTAAATACTAGGGCTGGAGTCCTGGAGAGCCCACTCAGCCTCAGACACGGTCCTGAGAAATGGTACCATTCAGGGACCTCTCAGGCAATATGATTGTGTCATTAATCACTGTCTTCAGTGTCCCAATACAGAGCCTGAATCTCTAAATAGTTGTTGAATAAACAAATGGGAGAGAAAGATGGTGGGGTGAGACTAAAAGCTGGGAACCCAGGGTAGAGGATGGAGCAGGATGAGGGAGAGGAGGGTGTTGAGGACAGTGCTGGACAACTGTAGGGATGTTGAGTAGAGAGGTACCTGAGTGGGTCTCATGTGAAGTTGACTGGCTGTAGAAGGGTGAAATACAGCACTCTAGGCTGGGGATTAGGTGGAACAGACCTTGATATGGGAGATAAGAGAAGGGACAGCTTTGGAGGAGATGCTGACAACAATGTTATCAACAGACTCCATGGGTGTGAGGAGTCAAGGAGATGTCCAAGGGTCAGCCGAGTCTGCTCCAGGAACAAGGGGACTATAAGGTCTCCATTGACATAGCAGATTTCAGGGAGAAGCTGAATTGAGCTTCAAATGCTTCTTATGGGCCGAGATGCAGAAGAGGGTGCCTGGGGCTGGTGTAAAATCCAGATGGGCTTCCTGGAGGAAAGATTAGCAGCTTCTACTTCACCATTTTGATTTCTCAACAGTTTTGATTTCTCTCAAACATCTCCACCCTTCCAACTTTTGTGGGTTGTTTTGCTATTAAAAAAGCAATTAGACAGCACGTTTGCCATGGATCTCTGAACCTTTCAAGGGGTGTTAGAAAGTATTGACTGTTAAAGGAATAAACAGACAAATCACAGATTGGGAGAAAATATTTGCAAAACACATACCTGATTATTGACTTGTACCCAAAATATACAAAGAACTCTTAAAACTCAACCATGAGAAAATAATCCAGTTTAAAAATGGACAAAAATTATGAACAGATGTCTCACCAAGGAAAATATACAGATAAATGCAAGTAAGCATATGAGAACTTGTTCAACACGATGTCATCAGGGAGTTGCAAATTGAAACAATAATGGAATACTTCTACATATCTATTAGAATGTCTAAAATCCAGAAATAAGGCTGCTTACATCTTGCCAGCCATGCAGGTTGTCCCTGGCTGGCTGCTGGCACACCATGTTTGCATAGGGTAGCAGCCAGATCAGCAACTGTTTCACCTTCTCCTGGCTCTTCCTTCAACTTCTGCAACTCCTAGGCCATGTGTGTGTTTAGCTTCAGCTTCTCCTGTGGGCATTCATACCAATAAGGTCAGAGGCAAGTTTGTTCCAGCTTGTGCTAGCTTTCCCCCATTTACATCTGTCTTCCCTTCCTAACAACTTCCTGCCCTCTGAACTTTGAGTGGCAGCATCAGACACTAAGACAATAATATTAGGGGCTGCTTAATGTCTCCACAAGTTGCATAAGTTCAAATCCCTGTCTGTCTGTTTGACTGTCTATCTACCTATCTATCCCCTGCTATTGGTTCAGTCTCTCTAATTGAACCCTGATATCAGGAGGAGACTGAAGCCAGGGCAGGGAACTAGGGCAGGGGATGATAGAACTGAAGCTTCGCGAGGGACTGGTGAGACTGATGATAGGGCTAACTGGAGGGAACTGATTTCTCAGAGAGGAAAGCACTGTTCTCTTTGGGATAGTACCTGTCAAGACTCCCTCCCTCTCACATCTGAGCTTTTATTCCCACTCTGCCCCCTAACTCAATTACCCTTCTTTCTTATCTTCAAAGGCTACCACCTCCTCATTCTTTAATTAATTAATTATTTTTCATATTTTGGCTGTGCTGGGTCTTTGTTGCTTTGTGCAGGCTTTCTCTCAGAGAAGGCAATGGCACTCCCAATGAAGGGAGAAGGCAAAGCCCACTCCAGTACTCTTGCCTGGAAAGTCCCATGGATAGAGGAGCCTGGTGGGCTGCAGTCCATGGGGTTGCTAAGAGTCAGACATGACTGAGTGACTTCACTTTCACTTTTCACTTTCATGCATTGGAGAAGGAAATGGCAACCCACTCTAGTGTTCTTGCCTGGAGAATCCCAGGGACCGGGGAGCCTGGTGGGCTGCCGTCTGTGGGGTTGCACAGAGTCGGACATGACTGAAGCGACTTAGCAGTAGCAACAGCAGCAGGTTTGCTCTAGTTGTGGTGAGCAGGGGCTACTCTTCATTGTAGTGCACAGACTCTAGAGCTAATGGGCTCAGCAGTTGAGGTGTGTGGGCTTTAGAGCACTCGGGCTTCAATAGTTGTGATGCATGGGCTTAGTCACTCTGCAACTTGTGAAATCTTCCCAGACCAGGGATCAAACCTGTGTCTGTTGCATTGGCAGGCAGACTAGGTGGGCTTTTTAAGAAACTTAGGTATTTTAAGCACTGAAGAATTGAACTGTTGAACTTTTGAACTGTGTTCACCACTTTTGAACTGTGGTGTTGAAGAAGACTCTTGAGAGTCCTTTGGACAGCAAGGAGATCCAACCAGTCCATCTGAAAGGAAATCAGTCCTGAATATTCATTGGAAGGACTGATGCTGAAGCTGATACTCCAATACTTTGGCCACCTGATACGAAGAACTGACTCATTGGAAAAGACCCTGATGCTGGGAAAGATTGAAGGTGGGAGGAGAAGGTGACGACAGGATGAGATGGTTGGATGGCATCACTGACTCAATGGATGTGAGTTTGAGTAAACTCTGAGAGTTGGTGATGGACAGGGAGGCCTGGAGTGCTGCAAGCCATGGGGTCACAAAGAGTTGGACACGACTGAGTGACTGAACTGAACTAGGTATTTTATGAAATTCCTAACAAATAGAATGACATGGATGTAACAAAAATAGAGTAACCTTAAGCATGAAATGAGGTTTTGCTTTCAGTTAGTACAATAGCAAAATTTTAAGATTAGTGATAGTATCCAATTAGGTAAAACCACCTGTCACAATAAATCAAACAATAAACTTTTATTCTCACCAAAAAGAAAGTTGTCAGTTTCATTCTTTTGCATGTGTGTGTGTGCTAAGTCTTTTCAGTTGTGTCTGGTCTGATTCTTTATGACCCTCTGGACTGTATCCCCAGGCTCCTCTGCCCGTGGGATTCTCCAGGCAAGAATACTGGAGTGAGTTGCCATGCCCTCCTCTAGGGGATCTTCCTGACCCAGGGATTGAACCTGGTCTCCTGCAGCCCCAGTATTGCAGGAGGATTCTTTACCAGTAGTGCCACCAGGGAAGCCCATATTTTGCATGTAGCTGTCCCATTTCCCCATCATCATTATTGAAGAGACTGTCTTTCCCCAATTTTATATTCTTGCCTACTTTGTTTTAGATTAATTGACCATATGAGAGTGGGGTTATTTCTGAACTCTCTATTTTGTTCCATTGATAAGTGTCTATTTTTCTACCAGTACCATACTGTTTTGATTACTATTGCTTTGTAGTAGTATAGTTTCAAGTCCAGGGGCATGATATCTCCAGCTTTATTCTTCTTTCTCAAGATATCTTTGGCTATTTGAGGTCTTTGGTTGTTTTATAAAAAATTTAGGATTATTTGTTTTAGTTCTGTGAAAACTGCCATTGGCATTTGGGCATTTGACAGGGATTGCATTGAATCTGTAGATTGCTTTTGATAGTAAGGACATTTAAAAGATGTTCATTCTTCTGATCCATGAGCATCATGTGATTTTCTTTTGTCATCTTCAATTTCTTTCCTTGGTATCTTGTAGTACAGTTTTTTTCACCTCCTTGGTTAAATTTATTCCTAAGTATTTTATACTTTTTGAGGCCTTTGTAAATAGGATTTTTCCCTTAATTTCTCTGATAGCTCATTATTAGTGTATATAAATGCAACAGATTTCTGAATCATAGTTCTATTTTTATTTTTTAAAAGAAACTTCACACTGTTTTCCATAATGGCTGCACTAATTTACATTCCCACCGACAATGTATGAAAGTTCCCTTTTCTCAATATTCTCGCCAACATTTGTTATTTATTGACTTTCTGATGATGGCCCTTCATACAGATGTGGAGTGATACCTCACTGTGGTTGTGATTTGCATTGCTTTAGTAATTAGTGACATTGAGTCTCTTTTCACATGCCTGTTAGCCATCTTTTGTCTTCTTTGGAAAAATGTTTATTTAGGTCTTCTGCCCACTTTTTGATTCCATTTGCGATTTTTTTTTTATATTGAGTTCAATGAACTGTTTGTATATTTTGGATATTAAGTACTTATGATGAAGTGTTAGTTCCTTATTTGCAAACATTTTCTCCCATTGGATAGGTTTTCTTGTTTTGTTGATGGCTTCTTTTGCTGTGCAAAACTTTTAA